ATCTATCTATCTATCTATCTATCTATCTATCTATCTATCTATCTATCTCTCTGTTTTGTTTTTTCAATACAGGGTTTCTTTGTGTAACAGCCCTAGCTGTCCTGGAACTAGCTGTGTAGACCAGGCTGACCTCAAACTCACAGAGATCTCCCTGCCTCTGCCTCCCAAGGGCTGGGATTAAAGGCATGTGTTACCACCACCTGGCTTAATGGTTTTTTCTCTTTTCTTTTTTGATTAGCAATCAATTTTACCAAGTTGACACAATAATCAACAGTTTCTTAGCCAGTTTTGTCAGTTGAACCACAAATATTATGAACTACTTTTTTCCTTGAATTCCAGATCTTCTTCAGAGTCAGACATTGCATTTAATAGTTTTGGGCCTTTGTTACTTAACAGTGTGTCCGCATCTTACTGTGTCTTTATAGTGTGGACATTTTTGAAGACAAAGTTGTCCCTTCCTGAGCATTTTTTGTTAAATATTTTCTGGTGGAATGATTCATGGGTGATGATTTTTTCCTTCCATGGATATCACATTTGATCATATGTGACATGTATCTGTCCTTCATTGGCGATGGGCTGACTTGACTGTTCTGTTGTTTTTTCCTGCCTAGCTCCATATGGTATCAGAGAATCTACAAGAAGGTCAGGTTCACAGAAGGAAATACCAAAGGGAATAGAAAAGTGGTAAGTGAAATTTAAATGTAACAAGTTACTACTTTGAAAATTTATTGATTTTTTTCTTTTATAATTTCTGTGAGGAATTTTAAACTTTTTACTAATTTTGTAATATTTGTTCTTTGTTAGTCCAGAAAGCCACGTTCCTGTCTCCTTGAGTTATCATCTGAGTGATATGTTTTTTGACCTGTTAAACTTTGCAGCTGAGACCCTCGTACTGGGTGGAAGACTAGTCTATTGGTTACCAGTATATACACCGGAGTATGTAGTCTTTATTTTTAATGTTATTTTCTGTAGTACTTGCATTTTTTAATCATCCTTGTTTTTTTCATCTCTAACTTTGCTCCTATTTTTATATTTACTGTTTATCAGTAGCCTTGGTTTGTTTATATACTAGTCCAAAATAGTCCCCTTCCTTTTATTATTTGGGTGTTTTTGAACTTTTTAATGCAAGGTATTGGCCAAACCACTGCCTTTGGGACAGATATGCTTTTCATACTGTTTCTATATGGTGATTGAGCATAACTACTTTTTTACATTTTTTAAAACTAATTGTTAGAACACTCACAAAAGACTTTGTACCAGAAAATCTGGGCATGATAGTATATGTTATCTTGGAAGGTATAACTGGGAGGTCAGAAATCAAAGTCAACATGACTACGTCTTGAATTTGAGATTAGTCTAAGCTATATAATATTAAAAAAATAGTTGAAAGAAATATATGTACCCACAGAATCTAAAATATTTGCATTTTGGCTCTTTGCCTGAAAAGTTTGTCAACCCTTTAGCTCAGTGTCTGGTATATCAGATGTTTAGTAGCTCCTGCCTAGTCACAAAACACAAGTCGTTTTCAGAAATGTCCCTGAGTAACTCCTATGCTTGTCTTTTCTAGTACTGGCTTTCTTACCTGCCTCTTATGACTACCTTAAATGCAATCAATATTTTTTACAACATAAATCCAAGATAAAAATGCATATATTTAAAGCTGTTTTATGTTGAACATGACTGGCTTTGTTCCTCAGTAACTGGCAACTGTTGAATAGAGCTGTGTGCATCAATGAAGAGAAGCTGTCTGAATAAGATGTGGTGTTAAAGGGGCCTAGAGAGAGGTTCAGTTGGTAAAAGTATGCCATCAGGCCTGGTGATTGGAGTTCAGTCATTAGGACTTACATAGTAGAAGGAGAGAATTGATTCCCACGAGTCATTCTCTCTCTCTTTCTCTCTCTAACACACACACACACACACACACACACACACACACACACTTTTTAAAAAAAGGATAAGTTCTTAAGTTTGAAAGACAGTATTAAGATTATGGTTTAGTTATTTCTTTAATTTGCCAGAGAAATCTTTTGAAAGGTATTAAGTATTTTAATACCTGTCTTTTCACTATATATTTGTTCAAAAGCAGTTGAGGACACTGGTAGCAGTGATGGGTTAGGTACCTCAGGATTTGAAAGGTGTATAGCTTTTGTTTATTTTATAAACATTTATTTGAAGTGACTTTGGCCTAGCTTTAGTTATGCATTTGTTTATCAGTTGATAAGTACATGTATCCAGATTACTTAACACTGGCTTTATGTTTTCTTAGAGATTTAGAGTACTTGCTGCTCTTACAGAACAGGTTCAAGTCCCAGCACTGCACAGAGGTGGCTCATAACTGTACCTCCAATTCCAAGGAATCAGATGACTGCTTTTGGCCTTTATAGTCACTAGGGACACACACACACACACACACACACACACACACAGAGGCAAAGCATTCACATACACAGACACACACATACACATGTACACTCACACATAATAATCTTAAAAAATGTAATTTAGCCTCTTTATTTTAGAAAACAAGGAAAATTGTTTTCAAGAAGTACTGTGAGTTATATAAATTTTCAAAGCTGCCTAGTTAATTGCATTTCTTATTCCCAGTGGTGTATCTCGCTGTCTGGTCTGTGCAGCTATAGATAGGGATTTATTAGAATTTTCAGGAGATCATTTGCTCACTTATATGTGAAATGGTTGTTACATTAAACAGTGTTTTCTAAAATGTGCTTCCCCTTCCCCCCGGAACAGCGCACGGTTTCTGCTCGCAGTCTCTTGGGCACTCCAGCCACCTTTTTGTTTTCCTTTTCTTCTGCTAAATGCTACTTGAAAATCTTGTATTTACTTGCTATCTATCAGCTCTTTCTCTTCTACCTATGGCAGAAAGAAGTGACTTTTGTTTTAATTCAAGTTGCAGTCCTTAATCCTGAAAGACTTCTCAAACAGGAAACGTTCCAATATAGTACAAAAAGCTCTGATTTTCTGTCCCATGCACATGCTCCAGATACTAGCATAGATGGCCATTTCTCTATTCTGTATACACCCATTATTATTAATCTTTTTTTGTGTGTTTTTTTGCTTTGCTTTTGAGGCAGGATCTCCTGTTGCCCAGGATAGCATTGAACTCCTAGTCTTCTTTCTCTGCCACCTGAGTGCTGGGATTGTAGGTATGCACCGCTATATATGGCTACATTACTGAACCCAAGTGAAAAGTTAGGAGCGAATGCTCTTTTCCTAGCCCTGTATCCATGGTTTCACCTTCCTGTCTGCCACTCACTCTGCTGTAATTGGGAATGGCAGTGCTGTCTGTTCCTGGGAGCCTTTCAGATTTTACTGGTCTGGGTTCTTCCAGGAAAATGTGCTATCTTAACTTTTCAGTGTCTTCAGGTGTAGGTGTCTCTCAGCCTTTCCTTATCTTTATTGTCATGGATGTTTTATAATACCCATAACCAGTATTTTTGGCGTTGACCCTTGTTTTTCTATTGCTATGAAGAGACACTATGACCAAGGCAATTCATAAAAGAAAGCATTTGATCTGGGGTTCACAGTTGCTGGGGGTTAGAGTCCATGATTATTAAGGTGGAGGGCATGGCAAAAGGCGGGCGGCGTGGTGCTAGAACAGTAGCTGAGAGCTTAGCGTGTGCTCCTCAAGGGAGAGAGAGGGAGGAAGAGAGAGGAGAGAGAGACAGAGAGAGAGAGAGAGAGAGAGAGAGAGAGAGAGAGAGAGAGAGAGA